TCTCTCTCTCTCTCTCTCTCTCTCTCTCTCTCTCTCTCTCTCTCTCTCTCTCTCTCTCTCTCTCTCTCTCTCTCTCTCTCTCTCTGTTCCTGCCTGTTACCTGCTCTATCCATCTATGTGTCTCCAGGCGAAATCCTATCTCGGCCAAAAGGTGCTGCTGGGCTTCGCGTCAGTAGCCGCCATGCATCAGCAGCGTCCACCACATTATTCCACACAGCGAGAATTGCGAAACGTCTTTCCCCTCATTTGTATAAGTGAGTCAGATAGTGAGTCACATGTCCTTGTTCCCCACATCACAGCCCAGGGAAATCACTCCACAACTCATTTGGCCGTCTTCCTGTCTCAGAAACTTAAGAGAGGTCAAACCCGTTCCATCACCGTAACAAGCACCAACACACCTACAACACCGCGAGTATTCCCGCCGCATTGGAAACCTCCATCGCGATCAAGAGGCTTTCGCCTCTCTCTCTCTCTCTCTCTCTCTCTCTCTCTCTCTCTCTCTCTCTCTCTCTCTCTCTCTCTCTCTCTCTCTCTCTCTCTCTCTCTTCCCCCTGGGCTTGCTCCTGCACATATTGGAAAGGTCTGGCGGGGCGACAGTGCAAACAAGACCGGCATTCCGTCTGTCGCGTCAATATTTCATTCAAGTCCACTGCCGATTTCACTGGACTGACGTCAAAAATCTGACGTGGCTACAGAAACCCTGACTTTAGCCCGGAAAACCTATCCGGACTGAAGGGTTTCCGTAGTCCACGCGGGACTCCGCGAGCATGACGCCTCAGCTCTTTTCGCATTCATCGGCGCGCAGCACCTGCACTGTAACCTCACCGTCTAACGACACCAGTCTGATGAGGAGATAAGACCGCAGCCTAGGATAAGAGAGAGAGAGAGAGAGAAAGAGAGAGCAGGTGAAAGCCGAACGGCTAGAGCTCCTGGTCCGGCTGACATGATGTGTCAGTAACAGGTAGAGATCAGACCACGTGTCTCTCTTTCTCTTCTCTCGCACCACGTGTCTGCAGTCTATCGCACCACGTGTCTGCAGTCTATAGCACCACGTGTCTGCAGTCTATAGCACCACGTGTCTGCAGTCTATAGCACCACGTGTCTGCAGTCTATCCATCGGTATCGAAAGAGCGGAGAAGATATGAACCCAGTGTAGGCTTAAGGAGAGAGAGAGCTGGGACACGCCGACGGCTCGATGGCTCTTGAATCAACCCACACGGAGTGGCACGTGGCGAGGGGTGGTGGACATCAGAGCGAGCCGTTCTTTTCGTACCGCGTTAGTATCTGCTGTCTAGCCATCGATGAGCTAGCTGCTGCATAGCTGGCGGGGCCACCGCAGAGACACATTTCTTGCAAGTGATCAGCGGCAGGAGATCTGACAGGTCAGTATCGTTATCATCCTCCCCATGGTCTATCTATCGTGCAGAAGGCCGCTAACCCTATTTCTTCGCTGTGCTGAAGAGTAGAGCGCACTTGTTTTTCCCCTATCTTTTCCTGAGAAGGGGGGGAAAATGTCGATCTCGGGGTCGGATGGAAAGCGAGAGCGGCGGCGGAGAGAAGCTTGGTGGCGCTCAGGTCCTGGCGACTGCGACGGACGACGCGCCCTTCTGCGCGCCAGCGCCCGCGCTTGCCGGCGCAGTCGAGACGACGGTGGAGGAAGGGGAGGTGGGCGCGCGGGCTTTTGCTGTACTCTGGGCTCCAGTCAGCTTCGCGAGAATCACGAATGAAGATCCCCCTATGACGTTATTGGCCGTTCGGACTGCGAAGACAACGACCTTGAACGGCGTGGGCGGGAGGAGCTTCACCAACACACTGTCGAGACCGTTGAGCATCTGATACCTTGCGTTGCTGGACAAGCCCATGTGCAGCGCCCACGTGGCGGAATTAAGGAAGGTGGGCGGGGGATCGTTCTGCAGCTTGAAGGCGGGATCGTACCGCTGACGCAACGCGAGGAGGGACTTGGAAATGCTCGTCCCGACAAGCCCCGCGGCAAATCCGACGGTGGCAAACTGCACGCCCTTGTATATATAGGTTCCCGCCCTGTGCACGACACCGTACGGGCCCGCCTCAAACATATGTCCAGTGGGGCAGCTAGCAAAAATCCCCGGCAGCCGCGCTGCCCCGGCCCCAGTTGGCGCCAACATGTACATCAGGGCGAAATTGACGATGGAACCCACGACGAGCGTGGAGAAGACGAAGTCCAGCTCATTGAGGCCGAAGTTAGGGCGGGTGGACATGTCGCCCAGGACGCAGGCGCCCACGCCGAGGATCTGCTCCGTCAGCACCTTGAAGACGAACTCCGGGTCGGCGTCGACGCGCGACTTCCAGCCCGTGGCCAGCGCACCGAGAAACGGGACACCCACAGCTCCCGCACCCGCTCCCCCATCTCGATCGCCGGCGGGATTGCCACCGCCATCACCCCCGCCTCCGCCCTTCCCTCCGCCGCCTCCCCCTCCGCCATGCCCGCCCTCGCCGCCGTCGTCGTCCCCTCCCCCGCCCGTAGCTGGCGTTGCCGTCGTGTCCAGCACGTCCGCGCTCAAGGCCAGGCATAGGCCCGTCTGCCTCCAAGACCCCGGGTGATCGCGCCCCGGCCCGCGGATGCCTAAAATAGATACAGTCCCCGCTCTATTGGGGAAGGACGTCATTGCTTTCCCCGTCGTCGTCCCTTTGGCGCTCATTTTCCCCGCCGGCACTCCCCCTCTCACCGGATGCGATCTTGCGCACCCGCGCGCGGAAACCCGCGCGCACGCTCCCCCCCATCGCCGCAACGACGGTGCTACACATCCTGCAATCCCCTCCGACGATGACGACACTGACGTTGCAGTCGTCGTGCAAGGCACGGTGATCGACTGACAGCTCGCTCCCGACAACCGCCCAACCGACACCCCACGGATCAGCGCCTGCATCTTCGCTCTCTCTCTCTCTCTCTCTCTCTCTCTCTCTCTCTCTCTCTCTCTCTCTCTCTCTCTCTCTCTCTCTCTCTCTCTCTCGTTCTCTCTCTCTCTCTCTCTCTCTCGTTCTTCGACAGGACTGGTGGGGAACCCGCCTTGCCTTGTCAAATGTGGCCAGGTTCACCCAGATTCCGCCTCTGTTTGCGCGCCAGAAGTTGTGAGCACACGCACCTGTCACACGATGAGCTCAGGCCTGGTATGGCACAACGAAGGAGGAGCTTAGCGAGAAAGGCAGCAGCACTGCTGGTATCTCTGGAAGGAGAAGCTTGGCGAGAAAGGCAGCACCATTGTTATTCCGTCCCAACAAAATGCTGCAGCGGACAACACTGCTGGTCATTGATGTAGGCAGCGCCTAGCGAGTGGGGTGTTAGGCAGTGCGGGTGAGATATGGGAGCTTGCCGCACGTTCGCCAAACGCCAACGTTTTCGATGTATAGGGACCGATAACCGGTCAGAATGCGTATGCGTTCAAAAGGGTGGCCATTTGGCGACCGGTGAGACGCGGCCTGTGGAGGTTGGAGATCGGTGACGCAGATCCCGTCCAAGGCGCACTTCATTAGTGGTTGCCATCGCTCCCATGTGCCTGAACGGGGAGGTGAGGCTACCGAACTTCTTTTGTTTTGTTTTTCTGACAAGCGGGCCCACAAGCGGGCCCAGTGCCCCCGGCTGAATTAGGGCCTCGCCACACCACACTCGAAATGTGCAAAATACAAAAATTTGGCGGGAGCATCTGGCCACGTTCTAGCGGCAAGTTCATTCTCAATTTGCACATTTCGAGAGTGGTGTGGCGACGCCCTTAGGCGCTGTGGGATTGTGCGGCTGAATTAGCCGCTGTGTGCATTCTGTTTGTTCTAGGGTTGGGCTTCACTCAGCGGCCCGGTTTGGGCCATTTCTGTTCCTGAGAGAGACGCTCAACACCTGCACCTAAGCTGGGTTGAGGCCCCAGTACATTGGCTACTCTTCCGGGTTGTTTGTTGAGGGATTCCCGGCCTCACGTTTGGGAAACTTTTCGATATGCCCCTGATTTTTGCATTTCATTGCCATCTGCCCCTCCGTTGGCTGACTTACCCTGATTTGCCCCTCTGACAGTGATTCAAGGTTCCAAAAAACTCCTGGCGTGGTTTGGGCCTGAAACATTTTCAATATGCCCCTACCTGTACTCGTGCCAGATTTCCAGCCTACCGCGTAGCCGTTCAGTACAGGTATCGATATGCCCCTACCGGTACCGTGCATCTTTTCGGTATGCCCTTCTGGCCGTCGCTGGCAGTAGCGGCTGTTCCCCTGGCCCTGGGAGGTGTGCTACGGGGGCACTTCTTTTCTTTTCTTTTTTTGGGTGTGTGTGTGTGTGCATGTGCATGCGTGCGTGTGTGTGTGTGTGTGTGTGTGTGTGTGTGTGTGTGTGTGTGTGAGAGAGAGAGAGAGAGAGAGAACAGGTAAGTCTCCAACCTCGCCGCTCATGGTACTTCCATCGATAGGATGACCAAACAGGATTGAATCTACGGCTAGAACATGGAAATATACACTACCACACGTGTGTGTGTGTGTGTGTGTGTGTGTGTGTGTGTGTGTGTGTCTGTGTGAGAGAGAGAGTGTGTGTGGGTGTGTGTGTCTGTGTGTGTGTAGTGGGTGTGTAGAACGCGGCAACCACATAATCCATGGGGAACCAGACCATCCACCTGTCCAAACGTAGCATCACGCGAGGTTAGCAGCAGGCTTAACATAGGACGGGTTAGGAGGCGAGTTTTACTATAGTCATCAACTCCATAGGAGGATGAAGGATTAAATGGGGGAGAGCAGATTAGAAGTTAGGCTGAAGTTAGAGATGGCTGTCAGAGACAGCCATAAGAGGGCTGCACGCCCTGAAGCGCGCTTTTTGCTGCTTAGCACCCATAGCAGCTCATCAGAGGGTTGGCTTTTATACTCCCATTAACTTTTATAAGTAGGGTGTGTTATATTAGAGTGCACGACACATAGGACACTCGAAGAGGGTTAGCGTTTTTACCTGAAGGTGGAACGTTTGAGAGGACGCAGCGTCCCCGGGCGTAGCCATCTTCGAGGTCTTGAAGTAACAACTTTTGCAGTACTCAGCGCTCGCTGCACTTCGGCCAGAGTGCGTGTTAGGTGCAAGATCAACCGTGCTCAGTTAGGGAGTGTTGAGTCGTGCAAACGGGTAAGAGGGAAGGTCCGTGTCTTACCAGGGTAAGGTGATGGGATGAGGAAGTGTTACGAGTGCACAGCAAGCAAAAGTAAGAATGTTTTGTAGTGTCGGTATGGTCACAGGCAATGCCGCGGTAGATAAAAGTGCAAACTAGCTCCATTATATCTTCTTGCGTGCGGGGTTGTCGTGGTAGTAAGTGTGGTGATGATGTGTGTATGAGTTAGCTAATCAGCGTTTTTTTTTTTAATTAGTTCTTAGAGAAGGGGGGTAATATTGTTATGGTTGGGGGGGTTAAGAACGTGTTTAGTCGTTGTCTTATTTGGTTCAATGGTCTGTATGGATGTATGGGTTACGGTGTGCGTGGCAAGGTTTCGTGCGTAGTTCAATTCTCGTGGTCATGCAGTAGATGGGGCGATCATAGTCTTAGTTAGTCGTATATTGGTTTTGTACTTCGTAGGTTGTGGTGTATTTTCCGTGTTATATTTTTGTTTTGCTCTTTCGTGCCGATCTACTTGAAGACTTTTAAAGCTCGTCAATCGTTAGCATTGGGATCGGTTGGAGTTTAATTAGTCGTTTAGCGTTTTTGCATTATGTATGATGTGGCGTGTTTCCCGTGTCAATTTTTATCTCGATTCTACATACCAATCTACTTGGGGATGCATCATAAGTTTTTGTTTTTTGTTAAACGTTCTCTGCGGGGCGTTGCTCGATATCTTGTCGTTTTATTTTTATTCATCATCTGTATTTCTTCGTTTTTGTGTATTATGGTGCATGTGATTATGTATGTGTGCGGATTTTTGTCATTATTCACGTCACGTAGTCTTTTGGATTTATGTAATATCGTGTTTGTTTATTTTGTAGAAGTTTAATCATTTGATTCTGGAAGCCCCATCGGTTGGGTGGTATCATTTGTTCAGTGGTTGGGTTTGTAGGTCGTCGTATCAATGTATGGGTTGGGGTGCATGTAGTAGGCTCTTGTGCGCATTTCAGGGTTCAGTGATGGGTAGTAACGGGAGCGAAGTGGAAGTTTTTCGTGCTGTGGTTTAATGTGACGGTTTTTTTAAGGGGTGTTCAGTATCTTGACGATAGGTGGTAGTGGAGTGAAGTATTTTCATTATAATCTTATTCGTTATTTTACTGCACATGTTGCGGCATGTTTTTCGTTCAATGTTTTGTCGTGGTGTTTACGTGCTAGTGTACTTAGCGGTATGTCACGAGTTTTTGTATTTCTGCAGAATTCTCTGCAAGGTATAGCTGGAAGTGTTGTCATTTTGTTCCTACCAGTCAGTCGCCATATGTAATTCCTTCGTTTTTGTGCAGTATACTTACGTATCTGGTTTATTTTTATGATTGTACGAGTTCTTTCGTTAGTATAAAAGTCTCATAACCCTTTTGCTTTGCGTAGTGGTTAGTGTATAAGTATCGAAATTTAATGGTCGTGTTTCTGAAACGTTGTTGCCTTGTCGTAAGAAGGTTTTTTGGAGGGTAGATTTGCTTAATTTGTATAAGAGGAAGGTATTATAATTTAATCCATTTATTTATTTATTTATTATTTTTTAATTAAAAAATATTTTATTATTATTATTATTATTATTATTATTATTATTTTATATTATTTAATTATTTTATTTTATTGTTTATTATTTATTATTTATTATTTTATTTTTTACTAGGCTATCAGAGTGACCCGGGTCCACTTGCCCGACTGGGCTAAAAAAAAATAAAAAATAAAAAATATATAAATGATTTATAAATTTAAATTATTATTTTAAATTTGGTAACGAATTCCGATGTGACCTTGAAGCAAAAGTTGTTCAATTTATTTTTTTGCATAACATAGTTGTTTTTTGGATCTTTTGGATTTTTTTTTTTTTGGGAGGGGGGGCAATTGTTCTTGGTCTTTGCACGACCGGGCTGCCCGGGAAAATAAGGTGATCCGGGCGGCCTGACTGGTAACCTAGATTTTTATTTATTTATTTATTTTAATTTTTAATTTAAAGTTTTTGTTATTTGAATTTATGTGTATGTGTGTGTGTGTGTTCCTCCCCGTTCCCTTCTAATGGAGGTTCCGGAGGGGTAGGTCCTTAATGTCGGACCTACCCCATCCGGGGTAAGTCCTCCATCCGAACCAAGCCAGGATTTTGACTTTCACACACTACACGTCATTGTTCCCGGGTTGAGTGCAAGGGTAGTTATATTTGTATTAACAAAAGTTATAAAAAAGTTTTATATATATTATAGTTTATAATTTTATAGTTATTATAAATTTATTTTTTAACTTTCTATATGTTGGGTTATATTGCTCATAGTTTGAATAGTTATTTTGTGGTATCTCGAGTACTCTCAAGGAGTTACAACGGAAGGGTTGATAAGCCATGGGGTTGCGAAGAATTCTTTGTGCAATACCTCGTAGTCTGTGTTGGCGGAATCTGTTTTACACTAGAGTTTGGATGGTCTGCTCTTCTGATTCTATTGTCATGATTGTGACAATTTGTGGTATCAGCAAGTTGATGGATTGTTTTGTTGGTCTATTAGATTCAACTTGAATGACGCGTGTGATCGGGAAGTCGAGTTTTTATTTTTTATCATACTTTGTAGTTTTGTATGCACCAGTGCGTATGTTAGTGACCTCTATTGTGGTGTTAAAAAAGTTTGTTTTTGTGTCAATTGTAGCATCATTAACTTTTATTTGTTCTCATGTTTGTTCGTTAAGCGTAATGATTTGCAAGGGGTATAGGTAATATCGATTTCAGGGGATGGTTTCTTCGGGATTTGTGAATTATTTCATGCGTGGGTTATTTATGATATGAAAGTATCGGAATACATACTGGAATAGGTGTACTATGTTACTGTTGGGTTTTTGCCTAATTTTTGTCATGAATTTGTATTCATATTAATATATATATATATATATATATATATATATATGTTGCACCAAACGGGTGAGCAACTTATGCCCATTTGGATGCCCAAAGTTTGTTTCCAGATATAGTTGTCGAGGGATGTATATGCGTTGTTTATCAGTCATTTATTGATGGCCATAACGATTATTACGTCGAGCGAAAGATAGGCGTGAGGAAGGTTGGTAAACCATTTGCAGACATGGGTGATTTGTTTTTTACTATTGTAGAACTTGAATGCAAGTTGCACGCAGTTTCCGTGGGTTTTCTTTGCTTCCTTAAAGTCCAGTTTTGC